AGGTACCTTTTATCCCAGGCAAAATGTCAGGGCAACACCACTTCTCCCACGCTTTGCTAAGGCTTTAAAATAACAAAGGAAAGGAAAGGAAGGTACCAGTGTTAAGTGACTTGGGAGAACACAACGACCCAGGACGCAGTTCATGCCCAGAGACCCTGACTGAGATAAAGCCAGTTCAGTCAAAACACTGCACCAGTCGGTAGTGAAGCTTAAGTGACCCACTTAACGCACTGTTAGGAGGAGGATGGATTTTAAGCAGGTTTGTGTGATTTTACGTAGTCAAAAGGTGACACTGATGCAACGTCGCTGGACAAGTCACAGCCTTCAAATATCACCAACCCCTCATACGAAAGTTCTTCTGCACTGACGCCACCAGAACCTACTTATGATCTTTTCTCAGTAAGTGTTCATTTTTATTTGAGATTGAGACACAATTAAAATAATGGTAAGAGGGAATGACTTTATGAGAGGAAAATGTCTAGTTGGAAAAAAAGAGTAATTTGGGAAAACACCATTCAAGTTCCTGGCTTTCCTGTCTCACCACTGCTAGAAATAGAGTCTGTAGTCCACAGCTGTATCTCAAGTCTGTCTTCCAAAAGAACTGAATTAAATTGGACTTCAACTGCTGCTGGATGCCAGTGATGTGTCTATAGGAACTTAAAACACCTTCCAGTTTTGTCTTCCCTGCTCTTTGCTGCAAACACAGCTGAGTGCCATGCCAGCACTCTGCAAAGAATCTGAAATGCAACAGGAAGGGGGCTGAGAAACGAGGGAAGGAAAAATTGAGTAAAGCCAGAATATCTGAACAGCCGCAATGGTCCAATTTAGCAAGACCCTCATGTACATGCAGAGTCTAAAAATCAAAATACTTTTCTATATCCAGTAAAAAGACTTGTTTGGTGCAAACTCTGCTATCTGTATGGACAAATTTGCCAAAAAGTGACTTTCATTCCTTAACTCAATGTTCAAGTCTGATTTTCTTTTTCTTCTATTCTATAGGATTTGGATGACCAGCAGCTTGTGATGAGTGGTCCTCATGATCAGAATTAAAGACTGAATTTGGTATTAGTCAATTATAAAACACATTTCTATTTACACTTACTGTAAAAAAACAGCACCTATACCATTCAGGGAATAAAATCTCGTTACATATTAAAAACCAAAAGAGCACAGCTTTGAGAAGATGCAGTCTGTAGGGTTCACGGAGTTACCAACCTCAGAAGCGGTGGCTGTATCTGAGCAATACCGACTATGAGTACCAAATGCAAAACAGAGTCTCAGCTAACCCACCCACAAACAGACACTTCTCTGTGAAAAGCATGACTTTCATGAGCCTGCTATTAAACTGCTTTTCTTCTTCTGCAAAGACTTTAAAATGGTCTCAAACACACTGCTAACTTGGCAAATAGCCTACATTTGCTAGTACTCCGGCTCTACACTTTCATTTTGGCTCGGTTACAACTACAACTGGCAAGTGTGAAACAGAACATGTGTTAAACCTGTGTTTTTAAACTTAAGGGATTTTTTTGCTAGTATACTTTCTTGTAAGAATTTCAGCAGCAGGAAACGTAAGCACTGCATCTGCCCCACTCGCCTCCTCCAACTTTTCTGTCTTTCCTCAAACTTGACTGTGTTTTGTTTTGAAAAAACACTACAGAAACCACAAAATATTAAGAAAAGGAAGATTTTCTTGCTGGCAGCAGTAACGTTCCCCTAGGACACGCTTCCTGGTGTCTGCCACAGGGGCAGGAGGGAAGATGTCACTGCAAGAAAGCACGAGTTGCCTCCGAGAACACCCCCAGGATGCCTCCTATCAGAACAAGGTACTGCAGGCAAATTCAGGGTTGTTGATGCAGCAGTCGGTCACAACCGAGGGAATCTAATGTGTAAATATGCCTGGATGAGACACAGGCTAAAGTAATTTCCCTAACTCCTTCCCTTGCTCCTCTAGACATGCCTGCTTGCTTTTACCTATAAGATATTAAAAAATTTAGAACACACACTTAAACACACACACAGAGTTTTGCAATTAATACAACTCACCTTCTTTCCTTCTCCCCAGTCACCCAAAATATTAAGGCTCATAGGGACCAGAGATAAAGTCCAAGCATTTATTTTTTGTAATAATGAAGTATTTTTGTCACAAAAAAAGTTCCACAGTTCATTAAACTCTTCTTTTAGTGACATACTATTCTCTTCCGTGTTTTTGATAGAACAGAATGAAAATTTCTTTTTGCTTTGGTGTTCAAAGTAACTATACTCCCAAAATTAATATAATGAGACGCTGCCCTTTAAACATGCTCAAAAATCTCTTTGAAGTCAGTAACATAACAAGGTTAAAATAAGTAATGCAGAGCGTGCCAGGGTGAAATCATTACAAAAATAGAAGGCATTTTTAAAAGTTAAGGAAGAGCATTCTAGCACTGAAAAATAAATAGTACACTTTAAAATTCTCACTTAAATTCATATCATATAGTTGGGTTGTTTTAAAGGAGCATAACACTCCCATGTATTTTTTTGTCATGCAATTTAATGTTGTTTATTTCAACAAGTCATGCAACATAAACAAGATTTTACTTCAGCTGGGTGTTGTAACATAGCTTTGTACAGAAGTTTGATTTGTAAGTTAACAGAAAGGAAGGGGGAGAGGAAGAAGTCATCTTGAAACAAAATGTGTATTCCGTGGATAACATCATCCAACCCAATTAAACTGTTCCTGCTTAACACAGGAAAATCAGGCAAACAAGCTGACTCCTAGCGAGCTTTAAAAAAAGAAATATCACAGAGCTATAACCAACAAAACATTAACAAATTCAATAATGCAGAACTGAGTAACACAATATTCTTATTTGCTGGTAGTAAGATGGAGAATGTACAGTGGTTTGGGGTTTTGGGTTTTTTTTTAAACAGTGCATTGAAATCTCTGGAGCATGAGAGGTGCTACACACGTGTAACACCAAGTTCAGTTCCAGCTGAGCATTGGGATAAAGAACTGAAGGCAAATCGGGGACATTTCCATCCCCACATTTCATTATCAAGTTGTGTTAAATATTTCTTGCACAGCCCCACCAACAAGTGTCCCCCTGATAAAGCCAAAGTAACTTCCTGCAAAACATTATCTTCTTCTTCCAGCAAAACAGCAGGACTGTCAGATGATTTTACTCATTTCAAGTATATTCATCTGTTTAAATAGACACACACACTTCAGAGTGTTGCACGTCAAGTTTGAAACAGGAGCACAAGACGACCATGAACATAAAATCTATAACCACCTCTGAGGACTTCAGACTGTTTTCAGGCATACAGGAAAACTAGTTATGAAATTGTGCAGGCTAGATTAGAATACATTCTTTGCAAACATGTTTTTAAAAGTATGAAAGATACTGCATATGAAATTCGGTATAGGTACTTGCACATAACACAGGTTAAAAAAAAAAACAAACAAGAAAACTTTTGGTCACCAAAAGTTTGTTTACCTGACAATCATGGTAGGAAGCAAATGATACCCCAAAATGAAGTGAAGAATATCAAATGCTATATATTTTGTTAATTATATGCTTTTAAAAACAGACCCCTTAATAACTAAAATTTGAAAATTATTAATCATATTATGCCTTCTAAAATGGCTGGGGTGGGAAGCACCAGTTAAAAAAAAGTTTCCTTTGGATGCAGAGAAAGGAAAGCATCCTTATTTAAAAACAACTATACAGCAGTTCTATAAAGTGCCTGTTTGAGGAAATACATCAACAGACGTTTTCCTTGTGCAAAATAGACATTTTTCAGCTCAAATCTTTGGAACATATATGCTACCCGGAGTCTGGGTTCATGCATTACCTGTAATTTCAATACTTCAGTATAACTTCTAATCTGCACTGCCAAACTTATTTTGATTGATGCAAACTGTCTACCACCCCCAGTTTAGCTTTGAGGGCTTGAGCTAAAAAAAAAAGCATCATCAGAAAACTCTGGGTTGTGTTTTCTCATTTCTTAACTTTTCTTTCAATTCATTTGCCCATTGTGCGTGTTTACTTTTGACTGCAAAAGTCCGTTACTGAAGGCTATATGAAATACATTCACTCCTAGGGAACAGCAAAACCACATTGCACACCACTGTAAGACACTTAAAATTTTTAAAAGCAGCATTTAAGATCAATCTAAAGCCTGGCAGAGACTGGTCTCCACTTTGAAATGCAAAATGCAAGACCTCGCGAAATGGCTTTATTATCGGAGAGTGGATATTTAAAGCGTTTTGAAACTCAGAAAGAAAGGTGCCTTAAAGGTAACAAAGGGAGCTGAAGCAGCCCAGGTTACTGCCACTTTCAGTTTTAGGCTCGGGTCCACCTTCAGCCAAGCACAGACGTTACCAGAACAGAAACTGCAGAGACAGGAGGTAAAGCCTGAGCCCGCGGTGGTCGTGGTCGCCGCGGCGCGGAGCCACGCCGGCGCTACGCAGCGCTTAGTGCAGTTACAGGTAAGGCTCCGGCTCTGGCAGCAAGGGAGGTTAAAACGCATACATCATCCCTCTCAGTCTCACCGTAAACTGGCTACGAAGTGTCTATCACTGAACTGCCAATACTGGATTTAAGCTTTTCAGTGCCAAGATCCACCGTTACAGGCTCCAGCTGGAGTTCTGATCAGGGCCCGAACAGAGAGTATAGGTATTTCTTTGTAAACCACAAGGCTGCAGACCAAAGTTTCCAATCAACAAACAAACAAAAACAATCACCTCAGAACACCAACAGTCCTTCTCCTCAAGTTTGATCTTCCTCACAGCCCACTACTATTTTGGCAGTCCATCATCTCTTCCATGTGTAAAGAGGAGTTTTCACATTTCCGAGCAGGAGTGGAGAAAATGTGTACAATGTTTATGAGAACAAGTATGAATTACACCTAAATCAAGATAACAGATTTTAAGTGACTTAAATAAAATACACGTACATTCAAAAAAAAAAAAAAAAAAAGGATATATTTGCCCATTTTAGAGAGAAGCAGCCAAGTACTTATTTGATCTGAACTGTGTCTTGTAGGAAAGGTATTCTGAATGTACCAGTGCACAGCTGGTCCGACCAGCCAGGAAGTTCATGCTGCAAAGGAGTCCTCCTTGGATAAAACGTGTAATCAGGCTCATAGTTCAAGAGACAACTCAGTGATGCCATATAGATATCTGCAAATCTAGAGAGACGTCTTAGGAAATAAGTTGGATTCTCATCAGTTCTGAATAAACTTCCAAACTGTGCGTTGAAGAAATTCCTGTTCATCTCCCTGTCCCCCCCGAAAAAAAAAAAAAAAAGAGAATGAAGTGAAAATACCCACACACATCTCTCTACAGCTAGCACCCAGAACCTGAAGCAAGCAGTTCCTATAATCTGTTCTATGCATTATTCTCTTGCCATTGCACTTCAAACCACTTAAATGCACCACATAATAAATTTTTGCACCTCTTGCACATACATAGCCCAGATCTAGAAATCACAGTAGTGAACAGAAGAGCTTCACACTAAAACCAGTGACAAGTTGCTTCTTTCTTCAGAACCATGATATCTCAAGCTGTCCTTTCTAGACATTGTGAAAGAAGACTTTTGCCTTCATCTAAATCTTAACGCTTGTCCCAAAGATAAAAGACTTTCTAAAAAAATGCAAAGATCTGGCTTAATGTACACAAAAAGCTTAAACACATCTTAGAATTATCTTCTGTTATTAGTCACTGCCAATTATCAGTCCCATTTTGTTTACTTCCACACTTGTGGGGAAGGCTGCTGGTGGTACAGGTGCTGGCCTGGCCAACTGTGCACTTCACACACCCCGCATTTAGGGATTGCTCCTTCATAATAGTAGATTTTTAGGAGTTTTAGCACTGTTATCTATCTCTGTGATGAGTCCACTGCTAAATCCAGTCTAGTGCAGAGCCCAGTTTCTGCATATTCTAAGATGTGTTGTATGTAATCTGAAGAAACCATCTAAAAAAACCTGAAGAAGTGACCTAAGTCTTGATACAGAACACATTTTTAAATCGTGCAGAAGCTAAGCTGCATGATCAGTAGCAATGGTGACAGCTGAACACAGAGGGACAGAAGAACTAAGATGAGAAGAAAAAGTATTTGATCTGATGTTACCTTTTCATGCAGAAAACTAACATCTGTTCCAAAGAAGGGGAACGGGGAAAAGGGGTTCATATGTGCAAAGGGTCAGAGGGGGAGAAGAGCTGCACAGGTCAAATATGCGGATAATTTTAGAAGGTCTGTAACTACCAGGGAATATAAATCAGGGATGGATAGAAATTCTGAAGAAACCTGTGGAAGATATCACATAGAACACTTGGCTACCATGAAGCATATTGCAAATTCTTCATCTCCCGACGTCTTACCTCATCTCCTTTCTTTCCTTCTTCCATTCTTCTAAAATCATTTGTGAATCAGGATCACGGTGAACCTGGAATGTAAAGTATGGATGACAGGTAACTAAGGATGCCCTCATAAATGAGCCTTTCCATTAATAAACCCTTATCAGCTAACAGGACAAGAGCAATGCTTCAGAGACCAGTATACAGAAGTTACCCACAGGCATTTTAAACAACTGAAAACAGGAACCAATCCAGCCTGACAAGTGGAGAAAGGGAACAAGAACAAGATTTTGGTAAAACTCTTATTAACTAGCCACACAGATAATTGCATTTCTTTCTCTCCAGTCAAACTGGTGAACTTTAATGAGACAAAGCACTTGCGACGTCAATGTCCAGCATTTAGAAACTTGGCTGGATCCCTTCTGCTATATAGAGACAATTACACACGCACGGAACAAACCTGCATGTGTTCCAGTAATCCTGTCAAGGTTTGCAGCCAGGTCATGGTTTGAATGTATTTCTCTGTGTTCATGATTTTAATCTCTGATCGTAACTCTGGAATAATTGCACCAGTGCGCCAGCCATGCTTCAGGGTCAAATCCTATTTACCAAGAAGAATTACAAAATACAAGTATTAAGTCTTAGAAAGAACTACTTAAAAGAACTGAAGAATTTGACCATTGTTTATCCCAAAGGGGCACTAATTTAATTGCTTCTGAAGTATAAGCAGAAATATTTAACAGTGGGACTTAACCGTGCCAACGGGCAATAGAATTCCATTTCAGGGTAAGCTTCAAAACCCACATTTTTAAAGAGAGAGATAAAGAACACATAAGCACTTGCATTAGTTGCAAAACTAATTCACTAGGTTTAAAACAAAGAGTAGGAAATTCCTCTTGTGGACGAGTCCTCTGCTGCTTTCAGAAGTATCTGGGGGAAACCACGTGCTGGGTTTGTGGTATTTACCCATACATTCAGCTGACAAAAGGGCCCTATCAGCGCCCCAGCTACTCAAGCTCCTCCTGACAAGCACAGGAGGAGGCAGCTGCCACCTGTGTTCTTTCCTCCATTGCGCCAAAGAACTGAGCTGCCCCGTCCTTCCTTCGGCCCTCAGCCTTCTGAAGCACACAAATTCACTCTTCTTCTTCTTAAAAGCAGATTGGGGCAAAAATGTTAACATCTGCTGCTGCTGAAACACGCTACCACAGCTTGGCAACAGAAAGTCATATCCAGGCATTCGTACGCAATCAATTACAAAAGAGCGTTAAGTGGTAGTGACTTCAAGTAACAGTCAACAGTACATTTCTTTGTAAGGTAGTAAGAAAACGCCTGGACAGTGGGCCTACAGACGAGAGCAAGTTCTCAGGAAGAAAGGAAGTTTACCATTAGTGACAGGCAGATTGCCTCCTGCATTCAAAACTGAAGTTCATTCAGCTCTTACTACACTTGGTAGTAAATGTCATCCAGATCAGCCACATCCTGTACGTGTGGATCTCTGCTTACTCTCCATTACATCTGACACAATCAGAATCTGGATCAGGAATACAAACTCACACACTCCTGAGCGCAGCTGGTAAACAAGTTAAATGCTACAAGTCAGGTGGAAAACATGGTCGGCCTTTTACGGCACCAATTTTCTTCACTGCAAGAAAAGCAATATGGCTTAACTACCAACTCAAATTTTCTTGTATTTAGAAATCTCAAATGCAAGCATGTTATGTTGAATAACTGGGGAGGAAGAGAAGAAAATTAACAAAAAGCCTCATCTTTTACCCTGTTTAGTGAAAGTAAACTACTTACTGCCAAGTCACTGTAAATGTGATCACCAAAGTAGAGAACCTTAGAGCCCCTCCAGCCAGTAAGCTTCAGAAATTCGTACAAGTTACCCTGCAGAAACAATGACACGTACATCGTAGCGGCATGAAACTTGCGCCTTCACAGGCATGAAAAAAGGAATTTAGTACACCCCTAAAAACACGTTCGTATCAAGAACCTTGTCCTTAGTTTATGTATTATGAATCTCAAATTTTACAGGCAATTTCAGTAATACTATCACTTCAAGAGACAAGTAAACTGCAGACATACAATACCAACAATGAATTCGTACCACCATCATTAAAACAAGTCTTAAAAAAACATATCTACCTTTTAGAAGCCCTTATGATGTCTAAAGAAGCCTGGGATTCTAGGAAATAGATACTAATTCTGAACTGGAAGAGTTTATTGAAAGCATACCTGTTTGTAAATCTGACCTTTCTGCAGCTTGTGAATTTTGTCCCAAAGCAACACTCCCCTTTCATTCACCTTCCGAAATGGTCTAGAATTGAATTATATACAATTGTTACATTGCTGTAGAAATTGTGTCACTTTTTAGGAGGAGATTACAATTTTAAAGATTAAAAATATTTGTCTTTCAAAAGAAAAACACACTCTCTAGCATCTGAACATTCTGTAATAGATAGAAAAAGCAAAGCTCCAAAGCTTCAGCTTTAGCCAGTGAAATGCAATGGATCATTCCAGTATACCCACGATGTTTACAATGGGCATTGAGAATAACTGTTGAGAACTAAGGCAGGGATCCCAGACAGAGGGGAAGAAACGGTGTGAATTGTCTGCCATTAAGGAGGAGAGAAGAGAACACAAAAGAAGTGAAGACGAGTAAAAATCTTGCCCAATACCTCATTTTGTATAACTGAGCAACTGAAGAAAAAGAAGGCACAGGACTGTGGACAACACGTACAGCAAAATCCTTTTTAAAACTAAATGAAAAAAAAGGGAAAAAAAAAATCCCACCTCCCTCTATCTCACTTTCAAATCATAAGTACACATAAGGGCATAGGTCTTTTTCAAGTGTAAAAGTAGTGCGTATGCATTACAGATGTGTTTGTTTAATTGAACAACTAGTCCAAATACTCCAGTCTGTCAGCCAGTCTGCCCTTTAGATATCACATGTGACTGAAAAAAACCCAGAAGCAATGAAAGACGTTTCCAAATCAGGGACTGATTCTGAAAAGCACTAAAATTTCTCAGGTTTATTAAGAAAGGAACACACTTCACCAACTTACAACTAAGATGTTAAAAACAGCTTCTGTGACCCTAACTCAGTGCAGTAGACCTGAAACCACTGGAACCTTCTTAGGTAAGAAATGGTAAATATTTGGACTTCAGAGTTGGGCATTGCTGCATTCTGTAACGACCTTAAACAGGATTTCATCAAATACAATTTCATTTTACATTGCATCCAAATTAAAATATTTCATAACACGCTCTATGGCCTTGTATGGAATAAGCTGCTTGAATCATTCTTTACTGATTAAATACCCACCTTCGCTTATCATTGAAAAAGTTTGGCTTATCAGCCTGTACAATAACCACATCAAAGAGGTCCCTCCAGTCCTTGCCAACTATGAACTTCATGCCTTTGTCCCTAAAAAGGACAGCGGGATATTAACAGTGAAGCGTAACAGAAGTGCAGTTATTTGTCCAATATAATGAATTACATTCGAGAACCCCATCCTCCCCACCCTTTGAAAATGTATAGTTGAACAGTAAACAACTGTTCACTTACACAAAGCTGCTGGGACTGTTTGTGATGAGAAACATCTTCTTGCCATGATCAGCCAGCTTTGCTAGCACCGCACGAGTTTGTTCGGCGTAGCAGATGTATTTCTCTGTGAGGATTGGGGAAAACACAGTATTAATTGAAAAAGCTTTTCACAAGAATTTTCTCTGCATTCAACCAAACGTTCAGAACACGACGTTATACTTAAAGGCACCTCAGACAAGTGGAAATAACTCTTTCAAGCTTTAAAATTTCGACTTTGTAATCTTAAATAAGGAATCCAGAAAGATCACCTTTCAGTGAAAAAAGCTTCGACAGATGATCTCATTAGTACTTACCAATATCTGCTTCAATTGCTCTGTACATTATTCCTTTGATGTGGACATCCCTGATTGAATCCTGTCAGGAAAGCAAGAGAGCACTAAACTGAAAAATCTTTTAAGCTACAAAAACCCTGCTCACTGCATAGCAGTAGTAATTTGTTTTTAAAACAATTCCTTTCTCTGAATTACACTTTCAACTTCACAGAAATGCCACGTGATGTTCATTATGTTAGACAAAGAGTAAACCTATCCTACAGGAAACTAACTTCATACTTTTGGGAAGTACAACACTACGTAGCACACGGGCTCTTTTATGTAACAACTGTGAAAGGGTGCTCAGAGGGGTGAAGTGGGGTGAAAGGCCTCCGCAGAAGCAGAGTAATCACAGATTTCTAATGACCTTTGGAGCAGAACACATTCCTTTCCTCTTGGGGGGGGAACCTTTAAGTCAGATAGATTTTAGACTATGATCAGACCCAAATCCCCTGGCTATTTAAAAAAGAAATTTACAGCAGATGAAAGAAGCTGAATGCTTAAGCAAAGTACCCGTAAGGAGCTCTGAGGGCATTCAGCCGCTCTCCTGAGCCAGCTCTGCACCAGACCGCTTTGTTTAGGACAGTGCTACTGCCATTTTGGTACTTACCTGGGGTATGTCCTAAAAATCCTCAAAAAATGCCACTATAAGACTTCCAAAATGTTGGTAATGCTGAGCAGTACAAAAGTTTCTACAAACACTTCAGCAGAAGAAACGATGAGAACTAGCCTTCTGGCTCTAAGTAACCAGAGGCAGAAGGGAAAATTACTCTTGAGTTCAAAAGTTTCTTAAAGCCTATCTGATCTACTTGGGAAAGTGAGAAATTCAACATTCAGGTGCATTGGATATGCTCAACAACTACAGAAGTTTAATACACATCAACAAGGGGCCAGGAAAAGGTTTTGGATAGAGAACTTGTGCAGACAACTACCATCAACTTGAGCACGGCCTCTTCTGTTCTTAAATAACCATGACATAAAACTGCCTCTTCTGCAGGATACATCCTGAGGAATCAAGAAGGTCAAATTACTCTAGCCATTATTATTAGATTGTTTTGGAGGCAGAAGAGAGGAAAACAGGCAAAATAGATATGCCAAAAGCAAGAGACAGCAAATGATCATATACCAGCGAAGACACAGAGGTAGTAAAACTGAAAGCTCCAAACTGGAATCCCCTATAGCCTCTTACAGTTCCTGCTAGTGAGAAAAGTATAGCTTTAATAACAACCCAAAGAAGCTTTATCAATGTACAAGAGCTTCTTCACTTTCCCCCGATCTACCCCTCAAACCCACAGAAAGCAACAGACGTAGAATGTCAAATTTAAAACAAAATTTCAAATTATTCTGTTTCTTTTTCAAGGTCTACCTTCATTTTACTTATGTTTTTATGGTTGTATAGCAATAATTACTCTGTGCAAAACCTAAAGTTGAGGTACTTCACTGGAGCTGACACAACAGATTGTAGTTTCCTGAAGCACTCACAGAGAAGATGCACAAATGTAGTGGTTTACCTAAATCTTCAAAGCTAGTACCTTGACATCTTTATACAGATGAACAGGCTCATAATCGATGTTGTTTTTCAGAAAATATTCATTCACACAGGAAAGAAGTGTCATTTCTGGCAAGGAAAATATATCCATGAATTGCTTCATTGTATTTCCTTGTGAGCTCTACAGGGGTGGGAAGGAAAAAGAAGAAAAAAGGTCAGGCATTTCTCAGATAAGAACATTTTCATTCATTCAGTATAAAAACTTCAGCTTAGTTGCAGGTATTCAGCTTTTGCCATCACTGTTCACACTGCTTTAGATTCTTTCTGAACCAACAGACTTTCAATAAAATAACTCCAACAAAAGTGGTGGCTTTATTTTAAAGATTAATCATGACTTATTATCCTTAAGAACATTATTTTAATTCATAAACATTTAAAAGGCAGCGCTCAGCTAGAAGTCAAGAGAAGGACTTAGAGGCCTTGACTGGAAGTCTGCACTTCTATAAATAAGCGGCACTGGGTATTGTGATGGGGAGGCGGCGGTTTTGGTTGCTGTTTCTTTTTTTGTAACTGGAATACTGATTTGGACTGCAAAACAATTTACCTCCTTGAAAAGAGAGAGTAAAAAGTTGCAAGAATCTACAGTAACTCGTGCAGGAGCAGAGGAATACTAGTCTGCAAAAGCTGTAACTATAGTTAAGTTTCAGAAAAGTACAGAATCTTACTACACAAGAGCAAATACAAATCAAATACTTCTCAAAAAGAAGAGGGGTAAAGCAACCAGACATCTTTGCTCAAGACAGAACAGTGGTCAAGATCACAGAAGCATGGAATGGTCAAGGTTGCAAGGGACCTCTGGAGGTCCGTCTTGTCCAAGCCCCCCTGCTCAAGCATGGTCACCTACAGCCAGCTGCCCAGGACACTGTCCAGATGGCTTCCGAATACCTCCAAGGATGGAGACTCCGGAACTTCCCCCGGCAGCAACCTGTTCCAGTGCTCAGTCACCCTCACAGTAAAGGAAGTGTTTCCTGATGTTCAGAGGAAACCTCCTCTGTTTCAGTTTGCGCCCACAGCCTCTTGTCCTGTCACTGTCCTTTCCAAGATCAAAGAAGGCATAGACCTGCAGAGACCAAGGCATCCCACAGGGAGTGCCAGGGTGATAACCAGAACTGCTGCAGAGACCAGATTTGGGAATTCTGAGTTGAGCTCCTTTAAAATAAGAACAAGTGCGAGAACAACAAAAGGCTCCACAGCACAAAGAAGGGCATTTCATGTCAGCATGGAATTAACATCCATAAGTAAAAGGGGTAAAATAAACTTGTTTTTTACTAAAAAGACAGCACCGTTCTTGGTTTGGGAAAGATGGAGGAACCTACCAGAAAGATCAACTTTCCCCACAAAGGCAAATCCTAAACTTAAAAGCTTTATCTTTTATCATTCATCTTTTGTCAAATCCTGTTACTGTCACCCTGCCAGCTTGTATGCAAAAGGCACCTCCATACGTTTACTTGCTGCTACATCAGCTAAGCCATTAGACCACCGGGAAGAAGTACATAGCTGGGGTAAGGCACCAGATATGGTTCATTTCCCAGCCTTTATCAGATTTGCTGTGCAACACTGAGCAAGTCACTTGATTTTTCTATGTTCCCCTTCTCTGTCTGTATGACTGGGCAAGGGAACAGTGAAAGAAGTGGGAGTAAGTGGGCAGAAGAAAAGATATTTGTCACTTTTGAGGGCAAACCACATCTAGCACTGTAAGTCAATCACGTATTGAGAAAACACAACTGCTGGTAAGAACAAGAACAAAATGCAAACACCACTACCTCCTACCAAAAAGAAAAAAAATATTTTTAAAGAGCAGTTTGTGGTTTTACCTTTCCATAAAAGTCACTCATTTGTTCTAGAGGGACATGGGAACCATCATACATTGCAATGACTTCTTCATCTGGGACAACACTGAGGCCTCTGGAAAACAACATTAGCTTTAGTTCAAAAGGCAGATTAAAATTTTCAAGTAATTACCGAACAGAAGCCTGACAGATTGATACTTAGATCTGGAGCTTATTAAAATACTAATAATGTCATAGGAACACTTTAGTCTGTAAGTTAAAACAGCATCTTTCCTTACAGAACAAGTAACTTTTTAACAGGCTGACGCACATGGAACACATTCCAATTTTAAGTCCTTTTTACTTTCTTACGGGAAAAGAGCTAATTAGTCTCCATTGAAACTATGCCTGAAGGGTTTGTAAGAAGTACCAGTTTCTTAACACAAAGTAATTCCTCACTCTGCCTTTGTTTCATACAGCACTGATGATGCGATAGTGTTTAAACCAGATTATTCTGCAGCATGACCTTGAAGATTCAAGGCAAAGAAACACACGCACAACCTTTAACTAAGTAAGAATTTATTTTAAACTGTTTCAACAGTTCCGTTTCCCCAAATTTAAGATTACTTGAAGGATTGTTGGCAGGTAATTAAAATATTAAAGTACAACAACAAACGAGGAAGAAGTAGACACCATCTCTCCCCATAGTTTCTTTTTTGTTTTGGTTTGGTTTTGAATATTTACGGTATTAAGCATCTTGCACTAATGCATCTAAAACACTGCAGGCATGCAAACATCCTCACCAGAGGACACAGAAGTGTTGAGGCTTTGCTTAAATTAAAGAACACAAATGAAAACCAGATTATCTGGTCCCTTTTTTCCAAGCCTGTCTACGGTGTTTTGCAGCCTTGTAACACAGTCAGTTGTTTCAAGTTATATTGTATATATTCAGTTATTCCCTTTCTTGGTCTTACCCAGAAGTGTTGTGGGCCATTAAAAAAAACTTTAATTAATTAATAAGCCTAGTACTTTCAGGGTTTAGCATCCACACCAGCTCTGCAGTGGAAGGGCACAATACATGAACTTCCTCAGGGCTGCTGTGGTAGCAGAGTCCCACGTTAACTAGCTCCTTTACTGCACTTCTCAATGCTACATCGACTTGTACATAGTTCTCTGCTCCAGCATTCAAGTCAGTATTGTGCACAAACAGGGCAGATAATAATTTGGTTTTGTAACATAACAGAGTTCAGCGTCACCCACTCCACAGGAGTAAACACAAAGAAACGCAACCAAAATGCTAAACAAATACCAAGTAATACGATCAGAATTGAGAAGGACTGACTCATCTTCTAGTCTGCAGACAGCTATGCCGAGTGGTATTTGAATACTGCTAAAGAAAGCGCTTGTGGATGAGGAGCTACTTAAGCACAAATCAAGAGAGGACAACAGACATACATGAAATCCACAGAGGAGATGACTGTGTAGGCAAAGCTATAGATTAGTTTTACCAGAAGATCCATAGCCTTGACGAAGTTCACAGTCCAGCTGTGTAATGACAAAGTTTATTTTATTCCACTGGGAGCAGGGACAGACGGCATTAAAAGCATCACAGTTCACCTACAGCACTGCTGCCACTGCTGCCTTCGGAGACCTGCATTCTTAGAGGGATATCAGAATCGCTTACACCTCTCTGTGAAAATGAGGCCGTACGCTTGGGCAAGCCCTGCTACCTATATAACTAGTGGTATAACTGACCTACACACGAACAGAACACACGGAAGGTTAAAACTAAGCTACAGATATGCAGCAACTGACAGCAAAGCTCAGCATTGGTACAGAAGAGAAAGGTAATCTTATTTTAAACAAAAGTAAAAGAAAGTATTGAGTGAAACGGTAGCTTTCACTCTCTCCCTCACACACACTCACAAGTACCAAGATGTGTGGCCTAGCAGTCTGTCCAGAATTACTCTGGGTGACACAGAGAACAAGGGACACCAGCTCTTCAACAAACCTCAACACCTCTCTAGCGTTGTCTTCACCAGTCGTCATGTTCTGGCTTTGGATGTGCCTTTTGTACTAGGAGTTGACAGCAGCTGTGATCTTCTGCCTCTTCATTCTGTCCCGCTCTGAGTCGTAAGTAGCACTGCTGATGGACTCACCACCATTCATCTTCTCATCTAGGTCACTATACAGTTCCAGTCATACCACTGTTCCTCCTGACATCACCTCTCAAAGCCTCTTTTTTGCTCCCCCCATCCCCACATGGGTGTTTGGAGAAACAGCATGCAGATGTGACGATACCTTGATCACCAACTGATCCAGGCACCACCAACACATGCCATCCTTTTGTCCCTTCTATCAGCATTTCTTCCGCTGCTCTCACACACACCCGTTCCCATTCATATCAATCTTAGTACATTCATATCAATCTTAGTACTTCTACTACATACTTCTACAGATAAATGTAGCTTTGATTATTTCACCTACCCTAGCCTTTAATCCAGCAAACTAGCATTTTTCACAGTGAAAAATGTAAAAAAATGTGACAGCCTTTTTAAATGAATCTTACAATCAGCGACCTTCACACCGAGTTCTCTGGCTCCCTCCTAGCCCTGCATAAACGATTCCTTCAAAAACCACAGGAACAGGTTTTGTCAGTTGAAACACACAGCAATTATTCTACATCAGCGTGTATAAAACACACAAATAAATCGTATAACGTTTCAGTCAGACTCTGATTGTACATACAGAACACATTGTTTTGGCAGCTTTAGATAGCTACTATGTTGACAGTATGAGCCTAAAGCTGGACCATGGCATCTTGTTTCCTCTTTCATTTTCCTTCCATTCCTCTCCCCTCTCCCAAAGGGCATCTGAGACTAAGTCATAAAAGAACAGGATCAATGACTTCAGCCGAATCATCTACCTATCTGCCCGACTGGCAAACAAAAAGTAATGAGCACATTATCATCATTTCATACTACCATATAGTAGTATGAAATCTACTATAAGTAGTATGAAAATCCCCAATAGCAAATCACTTCAGGGTTGCATTATCTTTTGGCTCCAAAACAAAACTTCTTCTCCAATGACATTAAGAAAGGTGCTGAGGCTTCCTGTTTAATTTAAAACCTGGTACCAAGTGCGGTGCTCCTGTCAGTCAAACGCGTACTGCTTCATTACAGCAAACTGAGCCACACCAAAACCCCTCCTGTCAAAGATCACACACAGCATGTCTGTATCGGGTAACAAAGCACAGCACAGAGACTGCCAATTCTACACCAGTTCAGTAAACTCAAGAAGTGTCAGGCTGTGCGCACACAAAGCAGTTGCGCTCCGTTCTGCGAGTATGATGTGGCCGATGTGTCCAAACTTAAAAGCTCTGTGCAAACACGGCAAGACCTCTCAAGTGTCTCTACAACCACACCAGAGTCATGCAAACAGGCACTCTGTGACAACTATTTACATAGAAAGCAACAGCGGAGAAGTCATCAGCGTGTTTTTAGATGTCTTTCAGCACAATTTAACAGCCGGAAACAAAGTGAGTCAGCACTATGTGACCAGCCAGCTTGCCAACTTCCCCAGCTCTGAACTGGGGAGGCAGCTGTACTGTATCAGTCAGTAAAGGTGTATGCGTGGCTGTGTGTGCACACAGTGGTGCAAAGAAACCCCCTTCCAGTAGGACTGCAATGTTCATTCATCTCTGTGCTTTTCAGGGCACTGCTCCTGATAGGAACCCAAGATATACACTAATAAATGCAACTAAGAGAGTCAAAAAAAAAAAAAAGTAAGTATATATTTTTATTACACCTAGGAAATAATTTTACCCACCTGTAAACTGTCCCCAGTTGAATATAGTGAAAAGCATCAATCTTCATTAATAATGCCTTGCAGGGGGAAAAAAAATTATCAGTTTTTATCACGTCAACTATTTGACATGAAACTATAAAAATCAAAGCAATTTAATCTATAACCTCTCTGTCTCAAGAATGCCTAAGCACCTTCACTTCAACTTCCTTCATAGTTTCCAAAATACTTTTATCAATGGCTCTTGCCTAGGGCTTTCCAAATCACCAAGGAAACATTGTCCAGTGACCTGAGCCAAGTCACGAAGAAGTAACTTTTCCGACTAGCAGATGCCTGCTTAGGTTTATTCTGTTGCACTTTAAGTTGTCTTCCTCCACCCACTATGAGAACGAACACTCAAACTTTTATTTTTTAAATAGTTCTTAAGTAGAAAACAAAGTAAAAATCAAGCTTGCTATGAAAGAGAAAAAGACGAAACAAATTCCTTACACATCAACACAGGGTGAAAAGTTGGAAGACTTAAAAGCCCTATTTATTTTCCTTGGCTAAGTTCTCAGCACTACATAACTCATCACAAAGTTATTTATACATACCCGGTGCACATCATAATGAAGTCCTCTGATAGCAAAATTTGGATCATAATCATATTTTCTTATTTCTGCAGGATACTAAGAAAGACAGCAATGATTTGATTTTAAATTCATAACAAAAACAAATAAAAAATTGTTTCTGCAGAATTTTAAAAGCCTATGTTTTCTATGCTTCTCATTTTCACTAGTCATTAAGAGGCTTTTTGATAGATTGGTGAGATTTGCAAGAACATATGTATGGTGCAAGACAAGTCAAACATTTGACCAAAATCCAAGGTCAATGTTTTAAATCTAAGTCAACTACAGCACTTAAAGTTGGACATCCAGGTACTCTGTAGTGATCACCTTTGAACATTAGCCTCTTGTTCAAAACCTTATTTTAATATATGCACCTTTGAAAACAAACTAAATTTCATTAACTTCCTAAAAATTAATAGCTGAGTTACCTTGCATTGTGAAGTCTCCCCATGAAACAGACTACACAAACACAGTTTCCAACTCAACCTGCTAGCTAGAAGCCCAAGAACATGGCTTAATTTACAGAGATACCTGAACTTCACTGCTCACTTCTATTGAAAGAAAAAGCAATACCACATCATCAACGTTAACGGGAGAAAAAAAAACTCTTTGGCATTTTCAAGAAATAAAAGCAGCACAGCTATCTGTTTTGACTCCCTCAGTGAGGATCATACTCCTGATCTTAGATTGTCACATTTGAAATGTAGACCCCAGAGGTGTGTAAAGATACACAGACGGGGAGGACGGAAGAATAGAATTCATAATGGCTAATGTCACCTGGGGAAGCCAGGGTCCCCTAACAGGGACCTTCCCCACGGTACAGTGCCTCACAAAGCTCAGACCCTGAAAGCAAATGGGGCATTAAACGCCACCAGGGTAAGTCACTGCAGTGACCCAACTAGGTTTACCCTGGACAGCATTTGTAACACCTCGTCGCTCAGAGATGCACTTGAATTGAATGTCTGTGTCATGCACTGTCTTCTCAGGTTCTTTATAGATAGCACAGGTAGCTCACACCACCTATTAGAGATAGGTGACGTTTTCTAACATTTTTCAGTACGAGCCCAATTTCAGTCGATTGTAAGTTTGTCCTGCTTTAAGCATAGGTTAGCCATGAAAAAAAAAACCCAAACAACATTACATGTGTGCCTTGGGCTAAGGGTTTTGTTCATTTGTTTTTAAAAGGTAAAATGCTTCAGTCATTTCTGACAAGGCCTGAGAAAACTATAATTTCTTTGGTTAACCAACTGAAAGGCAATCCTTCACTTCCCTCCCACAGGCTACAGCAGTCTTAGAACTTGACAAATGCATCTCAGGCATATCTTCCACCTTCTCTACAACAGTCTCCATACATATATGGCTAATCTATAAGCCTTTGTGGAAAAAAAAAGTAAATTATACAGCTTCAGCAGAGGCTCTAGCTAGTCTTACAAAAAAATAAATAAATCGCAATTTCTCCACAAAGATGTTATCTATGCTGAAGAGGACTTGCTCTGCAACTGCTGTAGACTGTGCTTGTATTGAGCACAGGCATCTACAATTAAAGTCCTTTCTCCTAACTTCTGAACTATTATCCCTACCACCATTTCCAGAAAACATGAGGGAAACTACTGATCTGAACGAAGAACAGCTTCAAAAGCCTACAGATGCATTGGGAAGATGTATAGGTTTGGCCAAGGAACACGGAGCAGAAAAGGAGACAAGGGAAAACATCAGGGTATGATATAGAATGTGATTAATTAGAACGTACAGTGTACTGCACATGCATCAAAGCAGCCACGTCAAGCATGAACAAGGCAATTTATTTCTGACTTTTTCAAATTTCTGCATGCTCAATTTTTCTTCTTTAATTTATTCTACAAGAAGGCTGCCTTTTTGCATGCATGGCAGTACATATGAGAAACAGATTGAGCCTATCTTGGCACACAAATCAAAGCTTCCTTACAAGCCAAACAAAATAACGATAAAAATTGCACTGTTTGCTTACCCCGCTCTTGGTAGGGATAGATCTATCTGGACTGAAACAGCAGTCCAGATAAGGTGGTACAAGGCCCGCACATTAGAAAGAAATAAACCCAAGAGCGAGAGTTTACATTCAACACCTGCTGCCACCTCCAAGATTAACATTAAATTGATGTTTATTCTCTTGGACACACTTCAAAATTCCTTGCTTCCTACACTGTATTTTGCAATTTCTGACGAGTTACTTTACACTGCCATGACCAAAATTGGCCATCTTTTAGGTTGACTATGACAGTCATAACGGGCAATAGTATCTACAAGCTTTTTCTAATGTTAAAGGCGAGAAAAACATTAGCAGTCCAAGCAGCTATTAATAAAACAATAGCATTAATAAAAACTGTTGTCCTCCAATAAATTCCAATAGGAGAGAATATATTTCAATAAGTTGTCTCAAAAAGTAATTACAGCTTTGCTTACTAGAACTCAAAGATATTTTAAATAAAGACAAACTGGAAAGTTATTACTGTCTGAATTCATTCGAATAGTAAAGACAGAGCACCATTTTAAATAGTGTCTACAAGAATTAATCTTGACTCCTATGGTACTGTTGATTTTTGCAAGAACCAGATAGCTTTAATAAAGTGTATTTACACATTCTACAGAAATTGCTACCAAGACATGCCAAAATCTTGGGCGGATCGAATTGTGTATGCTTGTAGCACCCACAGAGTTTTGTTTGCTCTTCCAGAGATATTTATAGATGTTTATATATAGCTCCTAACCTTTAGATTCAAATAGGAAAGTAGACTAACACCACCCATTCAGATTTAGGTTGTATACAACACACAAGCAGTTTTATTAATAAAGTTACTCTCTGGACTTTTTGTCTTTTATTTTCCTGCAAGTCCTACAGTTCAATAAACCTTGCCTCTTTCAGTCCATGTTTTCTTCTACCTTTTTCCCCACAATGCCTTCAGTTTCCCGAGTCACCCACCTCCCCCCCAGCTTTCTGGCACTCAGTAACTTCTCCCATCCCCAAACCACGCAATAACCAGCTCCAAGCTGCTCGGATGTCAACTGGTCCCCGATGCAAACACGCTGCTTGGTGAGGCAACAGCGGGGACAACGGAGCTGAACACTCACTTGGTTCTCTCTTGTCTCCAGCCTGTGATTAGCGTCACAGCAGGCGCTGCCCCTTCAGCTAACTCGGCTGAAGCGCCGGGCGCGTACAGAGCACCTCGCAAGCACACAGTGCGATCAAAGCCCTCGTAAGAAGTCAGGCTAAAAACATTCCATAAGGAAATTAATCACTGCACTCACAGCAATGCATGCAACGGTAACTTTTAAGCTTCTTATCTATTAACTGACAATTCTTATCCAATAAGTGGCTATCAGGAAAAAACAAAAAACCGCTCCACCACCACCACCACATTAAACAATAAACCAAATAAAACTCTGTTCCTAAACGTTTGTCAGACTGCGCTCTGCTCAAAACTGCAGCTGAGAAAAAACCTGGACTTCCATGGTTCATATTATAACACATTTTGTACAACAGTTACAAGGGAGCCAAGCTAGGACTGAGGCACAAAAAGATGAGTTATGACCCTCCCAGTTAGAAATTATTTGTTACACTCTTTATTCCGAAGTTTATTGTTATTCCATTAATTTTACTTACCCGATGCTCATTAATAAGAAGATCTCGAGCAGCATTGAAGATCAGCGTGTGCAAATGTTTGGAATAAAAGACCAATGTGTAGTCGTAATCAAAACCGTAAATTTCAATGTCTGACAGGCTCATTTCATTGTTTGAAAAAATAGCATCTGGATTCAGCATGTTACTCATAATTGAAGGAACCAGCTCTGGGAACCAGGGAGAGAAAAAAAAAAAAGTTACATCAGCCTTGTAGTTTTCTTTAAATGAATACATAGAAATCCATTAACAATTTCTAAATATAGATAAATGACGATGGAAACTATCAAACTAATTCACACTAATCAGCTAATCCTTAACAATATGATGCTATTGAAAATGTTGTCCCTAACTTGTCTTGGTGACCCGTAGTTTTTATTTGAAGCATACTTTTCTCTGTAAAGTTTGAGTAGAAGAGAAGATGCATTTCAGCATCTTGCTCAGAGAACCCCAGACTCAATACATGTAATTTTTTGCTAACTCCATTAACACATTTATTCCTGCTTTTGAAAATGAACTTTGGAGTTGAAGGGAATTATTATTATTATTATTATTATTATTATTATTATTATTATTATTACTACTACTACTATCATCATCATCTTGTCTTCTTCTCCCATTATTTGATCCAGCTTCTGCCCCAGAAGCAGAATTGACGACGTTTTAATTTGACATTGCTGTAATTTCTTTTGCTTCAACATTTCAAGGTTACCACATCACTCGATTTCAACTCAAATAAGTAAACTTTAAGTGATTGCCATACTTTCCAAACAACAGTTACATACGCATTGCTATGCTTATTAACCTTCTAGCAAGTCAGGAAACCAAAAATATTCTGCTTGTTCTCTAAACACATGTACCTAGTGTGTGTAAGTCAGTTCCATTTTTAAGGGTATATTTCTCTTGGTATTTGTTTGGAAAGTATACTGAGAAGTTAAGACCACTTACATAGAGCCATAACATATTAAGTAACTTTAGGACCAACATCAATATTAAGGATGTTTGTATTTCTTGTTTAGGAAACTTGGAAGCAACATGAGGAGGCTAAATGCTACCCTCCTGGAAGCATAAAGCATGAGCATGTTTTCCTGCCTTTCCTTCCCATATACTATCTTTATAATCCAGCCTCCCTTACTAGTAGGAAAAAAGGGGAGATTTCATCTTAAATCCATGCTTGGAAGGGTGAGTTTAAACGGAATGTGCTTTGTTTGGTTACTTTCTACATACAAGTCTAGAAGGAATTGGTCAAGCTTATCTCAACACCTTCAGCTCTGAGGACAGATACACTATGTGCTCCATCGTGGGAGGAAGCCATCTCAACAAGGCAGGTAGGTGTGGGGACTCCAGATCTGTTAGAAAGATAGTGCTCCATTTTGAAAGTAAGCTGAAACCATTCAAATTCACCAGATGCAGATATGCCAGTCTCTTAATTTTTGAGAGCGACAGAACAGCAATTTCACCGAGTTTAATTCCAAGTTTCAAATCAAGTCCAGCATCTCTTTCACCAAAAAAGATCACAGGAGTTCCCCATGCTTAAGCTGACATGAAAAGCTTTATCTTTCATTTCAGGGGATTTAACAAAATAAGCCTCAACGAAAACATTAGCTCCTTCTACCTCCAGAAACTGCTTCTAGTAAAACAGGAGATAAATGTTATGCTCAGTTGAGGTAACAAAATAATCAAATGCAATCTAACACGCTACTATTAAGGCAAATACTCTTATTCTATAAAAAGGGCCATGAATCACTCAACTAACTTGAAGTCATAACCATAGTTGTGAGTGAACTTCCAAAATCATGTTACAACACCCATTTCTGTATTATAGTTAAAGTATTTTTTCAAATGTCAATTGTGTACCCTGGTGAGTCACCATTTATTCTAAAAATAAAGATATTTATATATCTGTATATAGATATAAAGATATTTCAGATTAAAAAAAGCTTGACTAGCATCTGCCTGAGAACAGATAGTATAAACACTTTGTTGCTATTAAACGTCCTGGCTGTCAGACAGCATCCCAAATGCTATAAACCTTGGGTCAAAAATCAGGACAGTTACAGCATTAAGATGACAAAGCTAAGTGAAACATCACATACTTGAAGCCATGGGGTGACTTCAGCTGTAATAAAATATTCTGAATTATTCTAGAAACATTTGCCTCATCTTTCACCAACCCACACCCACTTTCTCTTAACACTGCCCTACTCTCTAACATCAGCTCTGAAGTATTATTTGGGTGTGGTTTAGAATAAGAAAAAGTTAATCCCAAAAACAGGAAAAGAAAAAAAAGATTCAAAATAAAAGGGATTTACTCTCATCTTCCTATCCCTTATTCCACTCTCCAAAGTCCATAGTATTCTTCGGAGATCCCCAACACAGCTTATTTCACTTGTGAAATGCTGCCACTATTTTATGTTTGCAAACGCTACGTCTGCACCCAGCACGCTCAAGCCCCCATTGACACTCAAGACTAAAGCGTAGGGTAAGACCATACTTTTTAAAAAAACAAAAAGGGGGGGGGGGTGTGCAAACCATAGAAGACTAAAGCATTACCCACTGCCACCGCAGGATAAGCTTTCCCACTTGATGTTGTGGAACACACGCTGACTCTTTCGGCTCTCTAAAAAGATCACATACCCAAGCACCTCAGTAATACTCTTCCCACCGGAGCAAGGGCAGCAGCAAGCACGCTCCAAGCAAGCGTTTGGCCCTTTTGGCCCGGCTGGGCTGAAGAACAGGGCTTCCCAGAGTCACGCACGCATTTTGCCCTGGCTTCAACGGTTCAGAAACGTAGGCAAAAAGAAAAAAGTCAGCTAAAACTTGGCAGCATTTTAACTTCTTGGAAGATCTGCCTATCGCAGAAAGCCCCTCGAACGGATGACCAACTCCTGATTTTCTTTTCACACTTGCTTGTCTCCACACAGCACCAACGCCGGCCCCTTCGCCGGGCCCAAGCTACGCTTCCCCAGGGTGCTTCCCAACAGCCACAGCCCCGCTGGCCCAGGCGGGTGAGGGGCTGCAGGGCT